CCACTTCCCTCTTTGATGGAAAACTCTTTGGATATTCTGAAGGCATTACGTCATGAGACTCAGCTAACACTTGTCCCACCTCCTTAGGGACTTGTTCCACCTTGGCAATATCATCAACCACAAGGCTTACCAAAAAGGTTGGTTCCTCCTTGCGTACCACCTTTTTTTAACTAAATAGCTGACAATATATTGGCCTCAACTTTGAAACTTCGGTTCATTAGAACAACACACTGATACTTTGGGTCAAGAATCACTAAGTAGTTGAAAAATGGATCAGGGAACGCAATGATTCGATCAAGAAAACTAAGGCCATCATAAATTCAAAATCATCTAAGGAATTACCTTAATTGTTTTCTTACCGATCCAATCATCAAGTCTGAGTTCGACACTCTTTACCTCCCAGATAATCAAAGATTATTTTGGAATTGACAATTTGATAAACCTTATTGTAGTCTCTTGGCAGTGTCTTCATATATAAACAATTCTGAGGCACCCATATACATCAGTTTCTTACATGTCACACTGACATCTACAAACATCATCCCCATCTTCTTGTGTCCCTTCTTGGTCTCTAATGAACACATGATAAAACTAAGGTTGGAGACCTCTTCTGCAACATCAAACTCCTCGATGGCCGCCACTTTCTCATTCTGTGAGCAATTTCTCGCAATATGGTTTTCTTTATAGGTATAACACTTGAGAGGCTCAGTGTTCTTCTCACATGGCTTGTAAAACCTCCTGGGTTTATCATTCGGCTTAACCAAATGCTTATCAGACCCAGCTTTGAATGTTCTCTCCCTGACTCTCCCACCATTACCTTTGGGTTTTGGTTTTGGTCTGGAAGTCTCGTTTCTTCATATTTTAAACTGGGCAATGTCTTTAGCTTTATCCAATGCCTTGGTGAGATTGTATACTCCCCTGCATTGCATTTCCATGTTTTCCCAACATTACAACCCATCCATAAAGGGAAAATAACCTTCTGTTTCACTTAAATTTGGAATCTGTAGATTTATCTCTGTGAATCTATTAACATAGTCCATAATTGAGCGATCATACCTCAATCGCTTCAATTTTGCATGGGCCGCCAACTGGGCATTCTTTGGATAGATCTGAACCTTGAGTTATTGTACAAACACTTTCCATGTGTCGGAGGGAACTACTTTGTCTTTCACTTTAGAACATCAACGTCACCACCACAAGCAAGCGACATCAGTCAAATAATTAGAAGAACTCAAACAAAATTCTCCACATCCTGGGATGTCCGCGACCCTTTGAACTCTTTCAGCTTTAGGACATCAATTTTGGGTGGAGATGTTGAATTTTCGCCCCACACTCCATTATTTACGGTCGTTTTATAAATTAGTAACTCATTCTCAAGGTTATTTATCCTTTTAGTGAGTTTGGCCTCCACTTCTGTCAATTGTTGTTTAACACAAACATCAATATCCTCCTTCAAACTTACTACAGAGTCTTCGGAGGCCTTAATTTGTTCGGCCAACTTGTTGTAAACTTCATCAACAAGCCTTTGTATATCCCCGTCTAAGGATTTCAACCTCACCAAACGGGGTTCTACCTCCTCTTATTATCCTTAACATCCTTCACGAAATCTTCAAGTCTCGCAACTCTCTTCTCCAACCAAACGAAAAACATCCCAGAGATTGTTTGTTTCCTCCTTTTCTCCATTAAACCAGCATCTCTGGTTGTTGTTCGCTTATTCCCAACCCTACAATTGTCGATCGACTCGACGGTTGAGACTTTTCCTTACTGTTATGGGGCCATCTCTCTTCTCGAAACCTCACTATGATACCACTTGTCATGTCCCTAGATTCCCAAACTAGAAATTGTGAGACCTTAGACGTTTTCATGGGTGAAAATGACTAAGTCAGCCTGAGCTACCTAAGTAAACACTTAGGTAAAAAGAGCGAAAACGAGACGAACTTCGAAAGGAAAATCCCTTACAACAAGAACAAGAGAAACTGAGAGAATACTTAACTTTATTTAACTCTGAATGAAAATGAGGTAGAAGTAAGCCTCTATTTATAGTGAAAGCTCCATACATCCAACAGTAGAAATTAAATTACATCAATGGCTAAGATTAAAAGGAAATCAAGATAAATATTTATCTTATCTTTATTTTGAATTCAAATTTATTTTGAATTCAAAATTAAAGATAATTAAATAAAAATAATTAAATAATAAAAGACTTATTCAAATCGAGCCAACTTAAGCTTCAGTGGCCTAGAATGCTCCTGCATACTCCCATGATGGCCAGTGACACACCATGGTGGCTTGGCGACTCCCCTAGGGTGGCCTAGGAGGGTCTGGATGCACACTGATTGGTTCAATCCACACTTGGCTCGATTGCAGCCTGGCAGTTCTTGATAATTACATTAGTCTTCTTATTAGTATATTATAATTTTCTTATTTTTTTCACTAACAAGATAATGATATTTAATAAATAAAAAATTTTGACGTGATATTATATCATGTAGGCAATTAAACACATGTTGAAATATCATGTCAGCATTTAGATATTTATAAATGTATCATGTCAACATTTAAATATTTATAAATGTATCATGTCAGAAAATAACATTTAGGGTAGGCAAGTATTCACCCTAAAATATAAATTTTCTTTTGTTAGTTATTTATTTTACTGATTGTATCTATCATGAGATTTTATTTTTATCCACTTATAAAAATTTTGTATTGTTAATATGTGTATTTATCTTAAAAAATATTTCTAGATCTATCACTATTGTATTATATAAATATGTGTTTTGGAATATGGAGGGTAAGCCTTATGCTAGTTGGTGCATTAGAAAGTTGTTGGATTTGAGGGGTGTTATTCGGCCTCTCTTTGCCTCTGCTCCTAGTTTGGCCTCTATAACTGTCGGTTGGATCAAGTTTAGGATTAGAGAGGTGCCCCTAAAGTTCATTGACATAAGACTTTATGATTTCCTTGTCATATGTCCCTAAGAACGTGATCGTCCGGTGGATGGCCATCCTCGGAATGCTTCCTACCAAAGATAGGTTATTGAGCATGGGCCTGGGAGTGGATGATAGTTGTGTTTTGTGTAGTGGCTTTGAGACTAGGAATCATCTTTTCTTTGAGTGCTCCTACTCAAAGAATATTTGGGAGGCTATTTTGGCTAAGTGTAATCTTGCTAGGCGTTCTCTTGATTGGGATGTCGAGTTTCAGTGGGCATTGACTCACCTTAAGGGTAAACCCTCCTTGTTTTTATCATCAAGATACCTAGGAATGCTTGTGTTTATTATATTTGGGATGAAAGAAATAAAAGGCAGTTTAGGGGTGTAAGTAGGAGTGGTGATGAGATTTTGAATGCTATTGAGATTATTGTTTGGATAAAAGTTGCACATAATTGTCTAGATATGAGTGACGATGTAAATAGAGGACTATGTTCTAGATGGGGAATTGTTTGTAGGGGTTGAGTTTTTGTTACTCATGTTCTTTGTAGTAGTTTTATTGCTTTTTCTTGGATAAATACAAATACGCTTATCCAAAAAAAAAGTGTGTTTGAGATATAAGATAATGAGGTATACTACCGAGTTAAGTTGAAGAAAGAGTTAGGTTTAACTGCAAAATTGAAATAAAGGGTGAGGTTATATAATTTGAATTATTCCAGAAAAAAAAATTGTCAGTAAAGAATCGAGTGGACGGGAGAAGTAAGAAAAAATGTAAAACTTTATTTTATTTTTGCCTAATTATGTCACATGGTAAAATTTACTTAAAAAGACAAACAATCAAAACAGATGAATGTCAAAATGTACTTTAAAAGAATCACTCAAAACTCGCTTTAATATACATAATATTTTAAATATTATCATGAAAAATTGTAATTCATTTAAAGAGCGTCCATCACATTTCAGCTATAACAACCTATACTACACATAATATAAGATAAATAATATAAAAATAACTAAATCTAGATACAAAATATAAAATTTCTTAATTCTTGCACATATATATATATAATAGATATTGAATAACAACCACTCAAATACTCTTTCCCTTCTCTTCCTTTTTCTTTTTAGTTTTTTCCATTCACGGGTAACTACCCTTCATGTATAATGGAGTAAATTATGTATTTAAATATCTATTTATTTTTGCAATTTCAGTTTAATCATTCAATTATTTTTTTAAATTACACTTAAATGTTATGTTTGGGTCATCCACCGTTAAAAAATAGGATATACTACTTATTTAGTTACTCACCTATTTTCACATATCCATTTTGGTCACCCAATTATTTTCAAAATCATATCTAATATTATTTTTTATTTTCATTTGGGTCACCTATCGTTAAAAATAAACAAAAACATTGATGTGTTATTTTTTTCAATGACGACATGACATTATCTTATAATAATACATCAATATCACCGTTATTTGTTTAACAGATGGTGATTAAAATGTATTGTTAAATATGATTTAAAAAATAGTTGAGTGACCGAAACAGAACTGCAAGAATATGTGAATAAATAAATACATAGTTTATCCTAAAAAATAAATAACTTCTTATGTGATAATTTTTTATTTTTAAATAATAACATAAAATTATCTTATAATAATACATCAATATTATCATTAATTTTTGAATGAAAGATAACTAAAACGGAACCATAGATATGTAATTTACCCTAAATAATTCATCCGTGCTTCAAAGGTGACCACCATTTTTACCGGCTATCTGACGCAACCAAAGCCAAAAGGGTTTCTTGAGGGCACCAACTTCGATTAATCAAATGTATTAATAACACGAAAAGGGAGTAGGTAAAACCAACGGTAGTTATCACTTGAATCACGTGGACTGCCCCGATGCCCTCTAAACCCAAGGCATCAAAAGCGGACAAGTTTGTTAAACCTTTTGATCCAACAACTACAAGTCAAATCACAAGCTCTTAACCTACCTAGCAATCAACCAAAACTTAAGAGGGACCAAAATAATAGCTATCCCACGCTGAAATGCTGCTGTTTTAAGTTCCTGCCATTAATGCTTTGGTATAAATGCACAAACCACTCTTTTAATTCTCCATTGCACTCTAAAACTCAACAAGCTTTGCCCTTGCATTGCTTCCTTGCCTGCCTTCAACCTTTAGCAGACATAGCTAGTAAGTTCAATTTTAGTGATGCTTTGATTTTTACCATCTATTTTTCTTCATTGGATTGACATGACTTGCTGGTTTCTATCTCTGTTTTCTGCATTTTTAAGTGACTTCTGAAATGGTAATGGTTGATGAGATACCTTTCCCCTCCCAAATCACAACCACCAAGCCACTCTCACTTTTTGGTCATGGTAAGACTTTTTTTTTCATACTATGTTCCGTATAATTACATGAACTAAGTGAATTAAATGGTGAGTTTTTGGATCCAAACTCATTGTTTTAAATCCAACTATGTTTTACTTTTACATGATCCTTGTTAGAGTTGGGTGACCTCATTTTTTTATTCGGTTTTGAAATGATTAGAAAGAAACTCATTTAAAATAGAATTTAAAATGAGGATCCGCCGTTACGGACGAAGAAGTTTAATCTACATAAAACTCTACTTTTCCATTGATGTGTAGATGATAATTCAATTTGAGTAGATTTCTATTTATGCAAATCTTTTTATAAATAAGAAAATTATTTTTATAAATATATATTAGAGATTAGGGTTTAGGGTTTAAGACTATGTTTTGTTTGGGAATGTTTCTCTAAACAAGATTTTTCAATGTAAAAACACTGTTTTTCCAGCTTCTTGGTTCGAGTCAATAATCACTTTTTAAACGTGAATTTTTTGTTGAAATTAAGTTGTTCAAGAATACTTCTGCATTTTAAACGGAATTTTAAGCTAAAAATACTTTCATAAACATTCCCCAACGCTAAATCTTATTAGACATAAATCTTCTTGCACTCTTTTAAGACATTTAATTTTCTAGTCTTTTACTTGTGGATTTTTTATCGAAAAGGTTTTTATCACATTCTTTATTTTGTGATTGTTTTACCATTCATTATTATTATGCTTACGTTGTTACAATCCTTAACATGAAAAATAGTTTCTTTTGCTTGAAATCATGAGGTTAGTACATTTAGATTCAACAATCTACATTCACTTGTGGGGCTGCAACAGGGATTACCGATATTGAGATTCACTTTCTGCAAATCAAGTTCACAGCGATCGGAGTTTACCTTGAACCTGAAGTTGTTAAACACTTGCAACAGTGGAAGGGTAAGCCTGGAAACGTGCTAGCAGAAGATGATGACTTCTTTGAGGCTCTTATTAATGGTACACCAACACATCAATTTCTTTCATTTATTCTTCAAAATTATAAAAGCAAGTGTCATTTATAACAATTTTGATCAAAATGAGCAGCTCAGGTGGAGAAATTTCTGAGAGTTGTGGTGATCAAGGAAATCAAAGGATCCCAATACGGAGTGCAGCTAGAGCGTGCCGTGAGGGACCGATTGGCGGCTGACGACAAATATGAAGAGGAAGAAGAAGAAGCCTTGGAGAAAGTTGTTGAATTCTTCCAGTATAAGTACTTCAAGAAGGATTCAATTATCACATACCATTTTCCAGCAAATTCAGCCACTGCTGAGGTATGTTTTGTAGGCATATCAGTAAGTCTTACCCTCGAAAACAACCATTCATTCATGCTTTAATGCGTGTGTGTGCGCGCGCCGTGAACAGATTGCGTTTAAGACAGAGGGAAAGGAGGATGCAAAAATCAAAGTGGAGAATGCAAATGTGGTTGAGATGATCAAGAAATGGTACATGGGAGGAACAAGAGGAGTGTCTGCAACTACCATTTCGTCCTTGGCTAATGGTCTCTCGGCCGAGTTATGCAAATGAAGATATGCAGTCATAGCATGAAGTTGATGGTCTTTCCTACAAGATTGTCTGATGAACATTCTGTTTGTTTTGCAAATAAATTTGATATGCAAGTTGGTTGGAGTTTTGCTAATTTAGAACACCCTTTGATTGTTCGAGATTTTGATTTCATGTTTTCAGGTATGCTTGATTCCCTATTAAAAGAACCATATACCATAAAATTATGATCACTCGCCCTAAGAGAACTTCCTTTGCACAAATAGAGCATTTTACAATTGCCAACAAGCAAGGATGAACTGAGGGGTAGTTAGGAATATTCGTTCTTGAAAATTTAGAATTAATATATATTTTAGATTTTTTTGATATATTTTTTATTGATAATCTGTTTTCGCCCTTAAAATTTTATAAGTTCGTCCCTGTAACTTAAAATCATGTGTTTGTTCCTACCAACAAGTTAATTTAATTGGGTGGGCACTAGACTTTTAAACAAAATCATAAATCCAAATATAGATATTTTAAATAAAATAAATTAGATCGAGAAAAATTGACCCAATAGACCTTTATAGTATCTAATCCCTTTATAATATATAGTCCATAGATTTTTATAATATTTGATATGAACTAATTAATCAACATAGATGACCTACGAATTAAACAAAAAAAGTAATTTACATTTATCTACAGGTAAATTTCACTTATAATATATGACCTTTAATATTTCATTTCCATAATCTACAGGTAATTTCACTTATAGTCTATGACCTTTAATATTTCATTTCCATAGTCTACAGGTAATTTCACTTATAGTCTATGACCTTTAATATTTCATTTCCATCAGTAGCTTTAAAATTTACAGTTGTCTACAGGTAAATTTCACTTATAGTCTATGACCTTTAATATTTCCATCCGTAACTTTAAAATGTCAGCTATGATTCAACCCGTCCGTCCATCAGTCAAAAATTAAAAATTAGGAAAATTACATCAATCATCATTAAATTTTATTCTATTTTATTTCACTCATTATACTTTAAATTCGTTCAATTTTATCACTAAACTTAATATATTTGATATTTTTGTCACTCCACCGTTAAATAGTTAATGGCATTAAAACAACACCGTTTTAAAAAAAATAAAATTTTCACCAAAACGACGTCATTTCACATCGATATAACAACCAATTTATAACGTCGTTAGTTAGAAAACGATGGAGGGACAAAAAACCAAATGTATTAAGTTTAGTGAGAAAATTAAACGAATCTAATATACAGTGAGTGAAATAGGATAAAGAGTAAAGTTTAGCGATGATTAGTGTAATTTACCCCATAATTTGCCAAACGACATATTTTCACATTCGAGAGGTGCATAAGCATTAAAAATAAAACAATTCAACAACAAAAAGTAAAGCAATTAATGCAACATCTCAAACCAGCAGCCCCTATTGTATTAACTATCAAGTGTTGTTTAAAATTGTATTGCTGATGAATTTTTTCATTTTTTTTTTGTTTCAGTTAAATATTTGTATTTTTCATGTACAAAATATAGTTACAAGTCTTAGTTGTTTTTTCGTATGCCAACAACAGTGATTAAGACCCAGCAGAATTATTAAAGATTGTCCGGTCCGATTGGTTCAACTGGGAGTTAGTGGCTCGTTTGGTTTGGCACATCTCCTAGAGCTGTTGATTTAATGAACTGGAACTAAATCATTTCAAGTTGAAAAAAATAACCCAAAAAACCCAGTAGGGGGAGGGTCCTTGGTCTGAACTAAAAGAGGCACATCCACAAGTGATGAAGAATTCAGGGTGCTAAAGTACTATACCTATGGTGCAAGCATGAGGGTAACGACCAAATCCGGATATGCCCGGGAAACCGGTGGCTATATAAATCATATTGGAAGTTTCCAACCCATGTTAAGTTTTATAAGTAATGATCAGTTGCAGCCTGTCACGGATCGTGGGTTTGACATCGAGGTATATGAGTATTTATTCGTTAAAGAGGTTTTGTATAGACCACCTAACTTGGTCAGGAGAATATTTGAAGGTACAATCACATTAATCTTTGAAAAAGGGAAATGACATCTTATTAAAGAATATTTCAAAATATTCTTTTCATGACTAGTATGATTTTTAAGGAATGTAATATTCTAATTGATATGATTTGATATTATTTTCTTAAATAGAAGATTTGATTTTTATTTTAGTCGTTGATGTAAATTGATTTATATCATACTGTTGAGATTACATCAATGTATATTAAGCATGAAAATGTAATATGTATTTACAATGCATTAGATGCTATTATATACACACTTGCATTGCTGAGCTGGCTGTAACTGCTATGCAATTTTATCAGCCTTAACTATCTTCCTAACAGCATTCTAACAGCCTGCTAACAATTCTCACTCTCTCACGCATACACATACAATCACAGGTTAACATTCTAACATTCTCCCCGCTCCTTTGACTTCTTCTCCTTTATTAACAAGGTAACACATGCAATTGATCTCTAAATACTTCAAATGCTCCCTTTGTCAATGACTTGGTAAGTCCATTTGCCACCTAATGACAAGTTGGAACGTAGTTTACCTAAAGTTGTTTAGCTGCAACTTTCTCACAAATAAAATGCACATCCATGTCTACATGTTTTGACTGTGCATGATACACTGGATTTTTACTTAAAGCAACATCACTCGTATTATCGCACCAAATAACAAGTGTGCTTCGATTTTCTACTCCAAGCTCACCTAATAAGGATCACATCCATGTAACTTAAACAGCAGCCTCAGCAACACTACGATATTCAGCCTCCATTGTAGACCTGGAGACTGTTTTCTATTTTCTCGAGCTCCATACTACAAGACATGCACCAAGGAACACTACATGGCCATACACTGACCTGCTTCATCAAGGCTGCCTCCCCAATCAGCATCAGCAAACGCCATAATTTCAAGTGATTTGCCAGCACACAAAAAAGTGAGACCATTATTTAACGTTCCAGCTAGGTATCGAAGTATCCTCTTCACTACAGCCAAATGCAACTCTCATGGAGCATGCATATACTGAGCAGCCTTGTTGACACTGAATGCAATATCGGATCACTATGACACGCATACAACAGAGCACCAACAATGCTACGATATTCTCGTGCATTTGTTAACAGTTCTCTAGCCTCCTGAGTCAATTTTGGAGACCCTAACATCGGGGTGGCAGTGGGTGTGGCATACAGTAAGTTTGTCCTTTCCAATAGGTCAAGTATGTATTTCTTTTGAGACAGCACTAAGAACTCCTTGCTGCGTTTGACTTCAATGCCCAAGAAGTAGGACAACTCTCCTAGATCCTTTAAGGAAAACTCCTGATTCAAAGCTTGTACCACATCATTAATAACATGTGAGGAAGCACTTGTAAGTATGATATTATCAACATAAACAAGGACATATGTATAACACCCTCCATCATTCTTAACAAACAGTGATAGATTAGCTCGAGATTCACTAAAGTCTAACCGAATTAAACTGGCTTTAAGCTTGTCATGCCAGTTCCTTGGTGCTTGTCTCAAGCCATACATTTCTTTGTGAAGTTTGCATACAAGCAAACTGCCATTAGCAACATACTCCTCGAAGCCAGGTGGCTGCTGCATAAACACATCCTCGATCAGATCACCGTTTACAAAGGCATTATTCACATCAATTTACCTTAAGGACAACCCTTTGCAACTGCAATCGAAATAATTGCATTTAATGTAGGAAACTTGACAACAAGACTATATGTTTCCTTGAAGTCATAACCTGGTACATGTGAATATCCTTTAGCAACCAGGCGAGCTTTATGTCTTTCAACAGACCCATCAGCCTTCTTTTTTATTCGAAACAACCACCTGCAGCCAACAACCTCACGTCCTGCAGGCAACTTAACGAGTGACCAGGTCTTTTTTCTTTGTAATGCATGAACATCTTCTTTCCAGCTAGGAGTCTTAAGTGCTTCATAAATGTAACCTGGAACTTCATCAACAATACTAGTCGTATAAGTTTTTGGCTTAAATATGCCACACTTACTTCTTGTCATCATTGGATACGTGTTTACCTGAGCACTGTCCAGATTGCATGTATTTTCTGCAGGTGTATGCAACTGATTCATCCCTTGATCATTACCATAATCATTGGCAACATCATCATGACCAACATCACCAGTATCTTGGTCAGTATACGAGGATTCACTTGGTACTTGATGCTCGACACCTGGCACAACACCTGTATCATCTGCCATTTCCAGAACTGGAACTACCACCTGGTCCATTATTCGAGTCTCCACTCGTACCAGCCACATAGTCATGGCTCGATTCTGCAGTGCTTCTGCCATTGAGCAATTTGCTAACATCAGTTACTACTTGTAATGAGCTAGGACAGCTCATTATATTTGATGTAGTAGGCTCATGATCACTTCTTCCTGCAAACAGAAACTGCATTTCATCAAACACCACATGTCTTGTTATATAGATCCTACCATCTTCAGCAAGACATTTTTGTTGCATACTATAACTTAAAAACGTGCAAGGCTCGGACCTGAAATCCAACTTATGCTTCAAATAAGGTCTCAAGTGAGGGAAGCACAGACATCCAAATACCTTCAATTGCCCAATATCAGGTTTCCTATGGAAAAGTTTCTCAAATGATGAAATGCCTTGCAAGACTCTTGTAGGAAGCCTGTTTATCAGGTAAACTGCAATAACCGCTGCATATGCCCAAAATTTGACAAACATTGATTCTTGAGCAAGTAGAACTAGGGTGAGTTCAATAACATGGTGATGCTTGCGTTCGAACACTCCATTTTGCTCGGAGGTATATGGACATGTCAGCCTGTGTGTGATGCCCTTACTCAACAAGTGACTCGACAGCCTACGATACTCACCTCCCCAATCACTTTGCACAGCCTTTATAGGCAAGTCGAATTGAACCTTAACCATTTGTTGAAACATCTCGAATGCACTGACTGTTTGAGCTTTATCTTTCAGCAAATACAACCATGAATGTCTGGTGCATGCATCAATAAATGTTGCATAGTATTTGTAACCATTCGAAACAATATGTGAGGGTCCCCAAAGATCTGTAAATATCAATTGGAATGGAGTATCATACACAGTTGTAGATGAATAAAATGGTAATTT